CTGTGTGTGTGTGTGTGTGTGTGTGTGTGCCAGTGCAGGTGGAGTAACAGTTAGGCACTTTGCCATCGCACACAGAAGGCAACATGAGTCTGATTCTCAAGTGGGTTGGGTTTTAAAAAATATCAAGTATCTCTGTCTTTCTGATGGGATGTTGTATCCTTCTCTGCCTGAGTTGGCCCTGACAGGCACCGTTGAAGTCTCTGGCTTTCTGCATCATTAAAAATCTAAGTTGTGTCGATGGGGGAGTGAAACATCTACAATTATTTCTTTTCCAGCTGGTGGTGATGATGGAGATGTTCATCCCCCTGGTTCTCTTCGTCATCCTCTTGCTGATCCGGAAAAAGTTACCAGCCTCCAAAATGCCTGTTGGTAAGTCTTCTAACCTTTTTCATCTTCGTTTCATTTGAAAATTTGTAGATTAATATCCAAGGTCGTCCTCAGACCTTGCCCACTTCAACCACATACTTTAAATTTGTCCAACCACATACTTTAGATTTTTAAGTGTGGTACCTGAGCTCAATCAAACCACATACTTAAGATTCTTAAGTGTGGTTACTGAGCTCAGTCTTAAGTAATGTCAAGTATATCATGTTGGTGACAAAGGGTTTAGATGGGTGCTCAGTGAGCTCACGCCTACAATCTTACAATAGTGTCAAGCATATGAAGGTGACACATCTTTTAAGCAGGTGGTCTCTGGGTGCGTGCTTGAGCAAGTCACGATAACCCCTGGCTGAAAAGGTGGAATCTGATTTATTGTTATCAAGACTAATGAACTATTGAAGCTTTATTGGACCTTTGTTGAGTCTGTATTCAGTGGCCGGGCCTGTGCAACGTGATAATTGTTCCACATGTCGTATTTCACGGTCAGGAATGTAGGTGAGGTGCAATGTATGTTGGATCCAAGGTCTAACAGATAACACCTGATAAAAAAAGATGGTGCACATTGATGATGACGCCGACGGTTTCCCTAATGATTGACTTACTGCTATAATTGTTTTGTCAGTTATGGTTAATTGTCACCAAGTGATAAACTTTTCACCTTGATCGTCAAAATGCTTTTATCAGTTGATTGTTTTTCCAAATAAGGAATGATTATGTTCCTGTCACTGATAGAGGGGGTGTTAAGTAGGGAGCTGACCTTGCTGATAACCAGTCCTAACACATGTGAACTTGATTTTGATGCTTCGAAATTTGAAATGATGTCAACTTTTTTGCACATTTTGAATGACATGGGTATCATGACCAAAACTGGGATAAAGGAAAATATGAACATGTTTGTGTGTGCATGTGGTCAAGTCAGGTGTGAGATGTGACAAATCATGTGCGTGGTACTTCTCAGTGTCAACAGTTCTGTGATAAGATACTCGCAGTTCCTGTTGCGAGGTCAAACCGGTGTCTGAGGTGTAGTGGGTAGGGTCTTCTCAGTCTCATGAAGAAGATTTGAGTTCTTCTTGTGTCTGGGGAAGTCAGTTTTGTCAAGTGTTCTTGCCTTCCGTTTAACGCACAGCCTGATAGGCGGGGTCAAGCAGCCCACTTCACAAGTGAATATAATAAATTGTGTGTGTGTATGTGTGTGTGTGTGTGTGTGAGAGAGAGAAAGAGAGAGAGAGAGACAAAGAGAGAGACAAAGAGAGAGAGAGAGAATGTGGGGGGGGGAGGCGTTAAATATTTACTTCCAAGCTCAAACTGGAGGTCATTTTACTGTAATTGTTAACGTTTTTCACCGTCATTGGGAGGCGGGCTGCTTCGACCTTACTTTTTCCTTCCAATAAATGACCGTTGCTGTGTTGGTGTGCTCTTTTTTTAAACTCTCCTACTAACAAGCCTTTCCATAACGCCTTACACTGTCAGAAAATAGGCCCAATAACGTCAGGTGTACTACTATGTATTATCACCCAGACAGACTCTGTAGCGCCTGGAACCGTTCCCTGGAACCTGCTTGTGTGGGAGGTGTTAATGGAATTTTTCCTCCGCAGTGTTTGTGCCAAACGTCTGGTCTTTTCTGCTGAAAAATCAATAATATTTCGTTTTGTGATATTATTATGTGTGTGTTGTTATCAGTTCTTTTGATGGTGTTTCCGTGTTACTTATGCATCAGCTGACATGAGATGTTGTGTGTATTTTGAACTGATGCTGACTTTTTTTTTCAACTGTTATTGAATGACATGGGGTATGATACCTATGACTGTGATAAAGGAAGGTATGAATGTGGATGTGGAAATATATATCTTTGTGTATGTGCATTGTGTCTCTGTTTGTGTCACAAACACATACATACACACACTGAGCGGGGATGTGCGCTATACAAATGCTATCTATTATTATTTTATTATTATTA